CACCCAGCAATGCTCAGGGGTTGCATTACTTTGGCCCCCGGAGCTCTTTTTTAGGAACTGTGATTGGGACTAGAGAGATAGGACATCAGGAAGCGTGCTTGCCTTGCACATGGTGAGCCCAGGTCCAAACCCCGACATCCTATAGGATCTCCCAAGAACTGCCAGGATTAATTCCTGAATGCAGAGCCAGAAGTAACCCTGAGTATTGCTGAGTGTGACCCTTTACCCACCCCCCACCCACTCCAAAAAATCCACATCATAATGCAGGCAGGGACAAGTACAATGAAATAAAGCACGAAAAAGAAGGTGAGATGGTCAGAGCCTGCATTAGAACGAGAACCTGAGGCCCCGATATTTGAGAGGAAAAGCGTTCTGTGCAGGGCTGAGCCCTTGGGATGGGCGTGTACAAGGCAGGATTAACTAACCTCATGGAGGCCAGTAAGAAGGAACAGGATGAGAGTGTGTATAGCAGGAAATGAAATGTCAGGTAAGGACTTGTAGGGGTGGGAACTTTGGATCTTATTCAAAATGACTTAAGAAATGTCGAGCAGTTTAGAGCAGGAGGGAGACATGATCTGATTTGTTTTTCAAAGATCGCTCAGAGGCGGTGTGCGTGCTTTGGATGTGGGGGGAAGGGTCCGGGTTCAGTACCCAGCACCTCCATCAGTGAGTCTCATGCCACACACTGAAAGTAGGCCCTGAGCTACACCTGGTGTGGCCCAAAAGCAAAACAAAAAGATCTTTCTGGCTTCTAGGATGGAGAATTTCTAGGTTGAGAGAATAGCCAGTAAAAAAAGTAAGGTAAAGGCCCTCCCGTTGATCATCAATTTGCTCGAGCGGGCCCAGTAACGTCTCCATTGGAGACTTTGTTGTTACTGTGTCTGGCATATCGAATACGTCACGGGGAGCTTGCCAGGCTCTGCCGTGCGGGCGCGATACTCTCAGTAGCTTGCCGGGCTCTCCGAGGGGGCGGAGGACTCAAACTCGGGTTGGCCATGTTGGCAGCGTGCAAGGTAAATGCCCTACCGCTGTGCTATCGTTCCAGCCCTAGAATAGCCAGAAAGAGGATTTTTTTTTTGCTTTTTGCTTTTTGGGTCACACCCAGCAATGCACAGGAGTTACTCCTGGCTCATGCACTCAGGAATTACTCCTGGCAGTGCTCAGGGGACCATATGGGATGCTGGGAATTGAACCCGGATCGGCTGCATGCAAGGTAAACACCCTACCTGCTGTGCTATCGCTCCAACCCCAGAGAGAAGACTTTTTAAAATAGTTTAATTGGGATTTTTGGTTTGTTCTGGTTTTGGTTTGATTTGGTTTGGGGGCCATACCCAGCTGTGCAGGGCTTATTCCTAGCTCTGTGCTCAGGGATCACTCCTGGTGGGCGCAGGGGACTAAATGGGATGCTGGGGATGTATCCTAGATTGGCCACAAGCAAGGCAAGCACCCTATCTGCTGTACTATCAATCCAGCCCTAGGACATTATTAATACTTCTGATCCCACGTGTTTATTGAAGGTTCATGGATTTGTGAGGTTGATTTTTGTAAGCTCTGTGATTATGTTACCTTAAGGAAGAGGGGGGAAATCCATAATCAAATTTAAAAATGTACTTTTTAATTAGTTTTTTAAATTATTATTATTGTTTTCGGGGTCACCTAGCAGTGCTTCTTTCTGCCTTGCTCCTGGCTTTGTGCCTCCTTCTGGCAGTACTTGGGGGACATGTGAGGTGCCAGGCATTGAACACACAATGCAAGTGCCTAAACCCCTATATTATCTCTCCAGTCCAAATCACATTTAGAAAATAGGGCTAATACAAGATGCACACATTTGTTAAGGAAAAATTAGCTAGGAGAGAAAATATATTTCAAGTGTGCCAACCCCTCCATATGAGGTCAGAGAGGAAAGGTGGCAACATTTATGACATAGATTAAATTAGGCACTAATTAAAGAGTCTAAAGAACAAAGCAAAGGAAGCAAAGAAGATTCTATTTTAAAATACACTACACCTGGATTGCTTTCTCAAGAACTCCATCTGTCAATTTCTCCAGAAGTGATGTCCGGATTTGTAGCAGGAATTCATAAAAAGGTTGCTGGTTAACCAGAATTCCTATTAACTTATAATGAAATATAAGAGCCTCCTATATTTAGTCATCCTGTCCTATTAGCATAACTTCTCTGTAGACTAGATATTTTTTTGTTTGGGGGCCATACCTACTAGTACTCAGGACTCAGTGCTCAGGGACTACTCCTAGCTCTGTACTCAGAGATCACTTCTGGAAGAGCTTGAGGGATTAGACAGGGTTCCAGGCATTAGACTGGGGTCAGTTGCCTGCAAGGCAAGTGCCTTACCTGCAGAACTATTTCTCCAGCCCCTAGACTAGAGATTTTTGTTTTGTTTTGTTTGGGGGCCACCTCCTGCAATGTTTTTTTTCCAAAAAAAAAAAAGCCTTTTTTCTGGCTCTGCACTCAGGAATTGGCCCTGAGGCAGCCGTTTGCAATGCAAGGCAAATACCCTACCTCCTATGCTATCTCTCCATCCCCAGATTAAAGATTTTTTCATGTATTTGGAACATGGTGAAGGTTATTTTATTTGAAGAATATTATGAGATTTAGGAGATGTGTTAGTAAGATCAACATTGGAAATTCTAAATTCTAGCACTCTTTGAGTCTTGATACCTGTTTTTTTGTTTTGTTGTGTTTTTTTATGGATCCCCAGTGACTGATTTTCTGCGAACTACTTAACTCTTCTGTGTCTACAGTTTTTCCATCTGTATAGATGAGAAATGCTAATCTGTTCTTTGCAGGGTTATGTTTTAGAACTGGAGGTGTTACCAGTGGAATACTGCATAGTTTTGTGTGATTTCATTTCATTTCATCATCCTGTTAATCGTCGATTGCCTCGAGCAGGCCCCAGTAACGTCTCTTTCATCCTAGCCCTGAGATTATATTCACGGCTCTTTAGGAGAATGAGACCCATCATTGTTACTGGTATTTGGCATATTTGGTAGGCCACGGGGAGTTTGCCAGACTCTGCCCTGTGGGCAGGCTACATTCGATAGCCTGCAAGTTTGTCCAAAGTAGGAATGAGATAATAAGATGTGATTTCAGCACTTACTAAATATTAGTTGCACCTGTTCTATTAAAAGTTACTTTCAGCCATTATCTTCTAGAATATTTGATTAATAGATTAATACCAAGCACTATAGGAAATAATATGAAATGACCATTATTTAGTGTTGACTACTTTAAAAGTACTTGCAATTTACTGGGCCTTTTTTTCTGTCAACACTCCAAGCCAGCATCTGGAGAGATAATAGAGAGGGTAAAACTCTTGCCTTACATGCAGCTGACCTGGGTTTGAGCCCTGGAACCACATATGGGGCTCCTCATTCTGCTTCCTGAGCCTTACCAGGAGTGATCCCAGGGTACAGAATAGGGACTAAGCTCTGAGCACCACAGGGTGTAGTATAAAAACAGAAAGAATGGGGGGGGGGGGAACACTCATGGGGCTGGGAGTGTGACTCAGTACAGCACTTGTGTAAATGAGGCTCTAGATTCAATCCCCCACACAAAAACAAACACTTGATTGGTCATTAAGCAGTCTTTGTTGCTGGAATTAGTGGCGACCAATAGCGTGAAATCCCAGGGTGTTTACCTAGGGTGCACCCTCTCTGAGGGGAAGAAGTAAATGCCAAGAGCGACTTAACCATTAGTTGGCTTCCAAACTGGGTGGGGTTGGAATGCACCTCAAGCTGGAAGCTGCAGGGCTCTTCCTGTCTACATGAGAAGGTGAGAAGCTGTGCGTATCAGGAGTGTATGTGTATGTCATGTATATGTGTCATACCTATTTATATAAATATAGATAACAGGAGTATATATCAGGAATGGTTTACTCCAGGCTAGGAAAATTCCAGCCAGTGACTAAAGGGATGGTTGGAATTACCTCCCTCGCTGTTCCCTCTCAGTGGGAATAGATTTATTTTTAAATCTAATTTTTTAAAAAAAAAGCGAGGGGGGTGGCTATTTCACAAGCCACCCTAAAATTCTTTTGAGGTGTTCCCACACTCCAGACTACCACTGCTCTAATACCCTCTTTGGAGCAGCGTGCCTCCACCACCCACACTAGCTCAGCTCTGCCACCCTTGAAAGTCAGACTAGGAGGGTGAAGTGGGACCGAAAACGAGGGGGCAACGGACTTCAACAAGATCCCTTGATGCAGAGCTCAGGAGATCCTTGGGATCACTACCCACTTGAAGTGCCACGCACCAAATTATGAGTCTTCGGTGCCTTAGTCTTTATTTTTCTAACCCACTTTTCAAGACCAGTTTAAAGGGCACGAGGTCATGTTCTCACTTTAACTTTAATACAATACAAATCCATGGGGCTGGAGATAATACAGTGGGTTGGGGGTTTGCCTTGCACGAGACCGACCCTTGGTTAGAACGCCTGCACCCAATATGAACCCTGAGCACCGCCAGTAGTTCATTCATGAGTGCAGGACCAGGAATAACCCCTGAGAGTCGCCGGGTGTGGCCCAAAAACAAACAAACAAACAAGGGGAAAAAAGAAAACCCTCACAGCAAATCCTGCCCTATGAGTCTCTTACCAAAGCCCCTCTTGCTTTTGTTTAATTAATTAATTAATTTGCTTTTTTTCTTTTTGGGTCATACGTGGAGATGCACAGGGGTTACTCCTGGCGGTGCTCTGGGCACCTTATGGGTTGCTGGGGATGGAGCCCGGGTCAGCCGCGTGCAAAGCAAACACCCTATTCGCTGTGCTATATCGCTCCAGTCCAACTCTCTCGCTTTTGTTTAAAGCTCCCGGGAGGTCGGGGGTAAAAGGACAAGGCTAGGACCGGTCGGTTTCTGCTTAAGTCTTGCAAAAAAAAAAAACCCAGACGGGTCGGCTCCCAGCCGCGCCCTCCCCGCCGGAACTACAACTCCCGAGCTGCCCCGCGGCCGGGGCGGGCGTGCGCACGCGCGTCGGCGGCGGAGGGGAACAGCCGCAGCGACCGCCCGGCGGAGCAGGGGGAGCCGCGAGCGGGCGGAGCGGGCGACTCCCTGGCCAGGCGGCGGGCGCGCGGGCGCCGGGACGCGAAGCAGGTCACCCCCGCGGCTCTCGGAGCGGAGGAGCTCGGCGGCCCCGGGACGCGCCCGGCAGGTGAGTCCCGGGCGGCGCTTTCCGGGAAGTCGGTGTGCGGCGCGGACGGGGTGTCCCGCGGGCCCTGGCGGCTGATGGAAAGGGGTCGCTGCTCCCGGCCGGGGCGGCGCGGCTCGGCTCTGCTTCCCGCCGCCTCCCCCGGTCCTGGTCCCGGAGCGGGGAGACCCCGTCCCTCCCCTTCCCGGGAGCCGCCTCCGGGGAGCCCCGAGCCGGGTGGGCGCGCTCTGGGCGTGGCCCGCGGCGGAGGCGCGCGACCCCCGACGGGCTGGGGAATCGCCAGGGGAGGGGGACCCCCTCGGCCTCCCCGGGGACCTTTCCCCGGCCGCGGGGATGCCCACACGCGCCCGGCCCTGCACCCCCGGCAAGGCGTTAACTCTGGGTGGGGTGGTGGGGGGACACTCCCCAGGACTCTCCCAAAGGAGTTGAGAACTTGCAGGGGTGCGGCGGTGGAGCCCTCTGGGGAAACACCCTTGCAGAAATAAATAAGTAAATAAAGGCGATTTGGCTTGCCTTGCCTGCTTGCATTCGCCCTTTTGATCTGTCGCTTGCTTCTGTCTTAGAAATAAGTTCCTGGCTCCCGTGCCGCACAGCTGAACCCGGCTGTGTGTGTGTGTCTCTGTGTGTGTGTCTGTGTGTGTGTGTCTGTGTGTGTCGGGGGGGTTGGTTTTGAGGACGTGACCGGGTCTTGAGATGTTTGCTTAGCGAAGTTGCATGCAGGGCTTCCTGTGCAGGCCTGCATTCTGATGACCAGCAAATGGGAAACAGCCGCCAGAGTTTCTTTCTTTTCGACGTTCGTTAAAAGCCGCGTTTCCTACTTGCCCTTGGCTTCTCTTAAAACCAAAAGTCATCTGGTAATGAAAGGCTGCAGTAAAACGTCTCCCAGGAGGTCAGACTTGAACAGGAAACAGCCCGTGGAGGTTTGTGAGTTCCCTGCGGTCTCCAGAGGTTTGGGACATTTTCTTGCAGCTCATGTTTCTTTCTCTGAGGATCCTTTGGATCAGTGTCCCCCCCCCCCCCCAAGCATTTTTTGATTGATTGATTAATCAGCTTGTCAAAAAATAAATTAGGTTTAGCAAACTGGCTTTCCCTGGTCTAACTCTTGCTACAACCAGCATCGAATTGAACCATCACTTAAGAGTGTGTAATAATCATTTGCTCTAATACTTAGAATCCTATTTCCAATACTTTTCCCACGAAGGGAGCAAAGAATGAAAAAGTGAGATCTTGTGTATTAATCTTAGCTTGTTTGCTGTTGAACCGTTGGACTTCTAGTTTGCTTATCTTTAAAAGGGGGCTGTAGGGCCTGATAATTCCAAGTTAATTTAAGTCCCAACTACCTGATTTAAAAAAAAAATTATGTGTTTTGTTCATTCAGGAGATGTCAGTCTCAGGTATCATGCCAAGTTTTGTGGCTGGGAATGGAGGAACAACAGTGGATACTTAGGGATTTTATTCATTAATTTCCTTTAATATTTTTATGGTTGCTTTTATGACAAAAGTTTAGTGGTACACTCCTCAAACCAGATTATTTTGTGATTAGTAATTTCACCTAAGTACAGGTTTGACCCCCTTAACAGTGATTGGCTTCATTCTCATCAATGATTTTCCTGGTTTCAACCAGGCCTGTTTAGATAAGACAGACGGTCTCAGTACAACTGGGAGGAGCTGAGTGGTGTGGGGTGGGGCTTCTCAAACTGGATCATGCAGAAATCACGCAGGATCTCCCCGGCTTGAAATGGGGCCCTAGAAACTGCATCCCTGATTTGTAATTGTTGGGGGACCAGATTTTATTTTTATTATTTTTTAAAAAATCTGGATATTGAGATATGTAATAGATATATGTAAACCTATATATAGGTTTACACTACTGTTGATGATTTCATGCACACTATTCCAGTGCAGGTCAAGTTTTAAATACCAAGGTATTAGATGTTTGAAGTACTTTGGAGGGGAGGGGAAGGCTTGGGGACTGCACCTTGCACTGTGCCAGGGAGTCACTCCTGGCATTGCTTAGGGAGACTGTCAGTAGGTAGTGGCCAGGATTGAACCAGGGTCAGCTGAATCCAAGCCGAGCAAGTGCCTTAATCCCCATACAGTTACTCCTGCTCTTCAGGTGTTCTTTTTTTTTTTTTTCTTTTTGGGTCACACCCGCCGACGCACAGGGGTTACTCCTGGTTCATGCACTCAGGTATTACTCCTGGCGGTGCTCAGGGGACCATATGGGATGCTGGGAATCGAACCCTGGTTGGCCACGTGCAAGGCAAACGCCTTACACACTGTGCTATCACTCCAGCCTCACCTTCAGGTGTTCTTAACAGGGTTTTGTTTGTTTGGGGGCCACACCTGGTTCTGCACTCAGAAATCACTCCTGGCAGGGCTCAGGGGACCATCTGGAGTGTCGGGGAGTAGGCCACATGCAAGGCAAATGCCCCACCTGCTGTGCTGTCTATGGCTCCTGCCCCTCTTTTTCTCTCTCCTCTTTTTGGTATGTTTTGCAGTCTCCCCCCTTCCACTTTCAACTACTGCAGCTTGTAGGTTACTTTGAGAAAGAAGGAGTAGAAATGCAAATAACAAAGTGACAATTGTAAGTGCCTCTGAATTCCTTTCCAGGCAAAATCTTTAAGAGTAATACTTTTTTTTTTTTTTTGACCTGGGTAAAATGAGATTCAAAGAAATACACCTATGTACATATCTCGGCTACTTTGAGTTCTGATAATTTTATCCATTGTAACTTGTACTATAACAAGATTTTTATTTGGTAGAAAGTTCTCTCAAAGCCCCCCCCTTTTTTTCTTGCTTTTTGGGTCACACCCGGCTATGTACAGGGCCCACTCCTGGCTTTGCACTCAGGAATTACTCCTGGCAGTGCTCAGGGGACCATATGGGATGCTGGGACTCGACCCTGGGTCAGCCACGTGCAAGGCAAATGCCCTACCCACTGTACTATAGCTCCAACCCCCCCCCCCCCCCACTTTCTGCTCTTTACAGCACCTATCCTTTCCCAAAAGTATTCACTTTCTTATTCCTAATGTGTGGTTTTCTCTCTCTCTCTCTCTCTCTCTCTCTCTCTTCCCCGTCTCTGTCTCTGACTTCTCCCCTTTCTCTCTCTCCTTCTGTCTCCCTCTCCCCTCCCTCTTTCCCTCGCTCTTGGAATGCTCAGGACTTCCTCCTGGCTCTAAGCTCGGGGATCACCGCTGGCGGGACCATGTGGAGTACAGGGGGTTGAACTTGGGTTGGCCGCGTGCAAGGCAAGCACCTTACCCACTGGACTCTCCAACTCCTGTTTCTCTTTCTTTTGGAGCCACACTCCCCAGGTGGAGCTCAGGAAACTATTGTAGTGCCAGAGATCAAACCGGGGTGGGGGTGGGGGCAAGGGCAAGTGCTTTACCTGCTGTGCTAGTGCTCTGCCCCATTTGTTTTGGACTTCAGTAGACTAAGGGACGTGTAGCATGAGTTCTTATGTATCACGTTCCTTCCCCCTCATGTTTTTGAGCTTCACCAGTGGTTTTTCTATACTAGTGGTTTGATTTTTTTTTTTTAATTATTATTGTTCCTGAATAGTATTCAGTTGTGTAAATATATATGACTTCAGTTTATTTCTTTTCCTCTTGATGGATATTTGAGTTGCTTCCAGGTTTGGGCTAATATGAATAAGAATGTTGCGAGCATTCTTTTATAAATCTCTTGTGGATATGTGTTTTCATTTCCTTTGATAAATACCTAGGAGTGGAATTACTGAGTCATGTGGTAGATACATGTTTGTTTTTATTTAAAAACTGCTCAACAGTTGACCTTAAGTGGATTATATATGAATTTTATTCTTATTTTTTGGTGTGTGGGATCAAACTCAGGGCCTCTTCATGTGAGTATTGTGCTGTACCCCAGAACTGCATCCCTGGCCCCTACTTTTTTGGGGGAGGGATAAGGGAGAGTCACACTGAGCAGTGCTCAGTGGCTAGTCCTGGTTCTTTATTCAGGAGTGACCCCTGGCAGTACTTGGGGACCCCTGTGTGGTGCCGAGATTCTAACCCAGGTCAGTCATGTGCAAAGCAAGCGCCTTACCCCTTCTACTGTCTCTCCAGTCTCATTTTTAGAAGTTTAGTCATATTTTAGCCCTATTAAAGGGTGTAAAATGATCCCACGTTGTGGCTTGTTTTGCTTTGTTTTGTTTTGGAGGGCCACACCCATGGTGCTAAGGGCTTACTACTGGCTCCCCACTCAGGGATCACTCTTGGTGGACATATGGGATGCCAGGAATTGAACCCTGGACAGGACTCGTGCAAGTCAGACGCCCTATCTGTGTACTAATGCTCTGTGCCCCCCTCCCCATTATGGTTTTTTTTTTCTTTTTGGGTCACACCAAGCGATGCTCAGGGGTTATTCCTGGCTCTGCACTCAGGAATTACTCCTGGTGGTGCTTGGGGGACCATATCGGATGCCGGGGATCAAACCCAGGTCGGCCGCGTGCAAGGCAAACCCCTACCCACTATGCTTTCGCTCCGGCCCCTCCCCAATATGGTTTTATGTTGCATTTTCTCTTTTCTATTTTGTTATGTTTTCGACCATACTCATTAGTCTTGGGACAACATATGTGGGACCAGGGATTGAACAGAGTTGCCTGCATGCAAGGCATTCTCCTTAACCTCCTGGCTTCTAAAGTTTATCAGTGTACTATTTCATGGGTTCCAGCAAAGGAATCAACCCCAGGGTCGAAAAGATACTCTGTTTTCTTCTAGAATCTTTCTTGTTCTAGGTTTTAAATTTTTAGGTGTGTGATCGATCCCAAATATTTGTGTAATGCTGGAAAGTAGAGATTGGATTCCTTCGATCTATCCAGCAGCGTAGGTTAAAAATAAAGCTTTCGTTTTTCCATTAGACTGATGCAATGGGAAATCAACCCACTGATTTGATTCCATAAACTGAGCTGTCTTTTGTAATTTAGTCGTACTTACAATGTCAATTTCTTAATTAGACCTCGAAAAAGGGATACTGTTATGCAC